CCCTGGGGCTCGCATGTGCCCTGGGGATAGCGTGTGTCCTGGGCTTAGCTTGTTCCCTGGGGATAGCGTGTTCCCTGGGGAAAGCGTGTACCCTGGGGATAGCATGTGCCCTGGGGCTTGCATGTGCCCTGGGGATAGCGTGTGCCCTGGGCTTAGTATGTTCCCTGGGGATAGCGTGTGCCCTGGGGATAGCGTGTGTTCTGGGCTTAGTGTTTGTTCTGGGCTTAGCATGTGTCCTGGGGATAGTGTTTGTCCTGGGGTTAGCGTGTTTCAAGGGGTTAGTGTGTGCATTGGGGATAGCGTGTGTCCTGGGGATAGCGTGTGTCCTGGGGATAGCGTGTGTCCTGGGGCTAGCGTGTGCCCTGGGGATAGTGTGTGTCCTGTGTTTAGTGTATGCATTGGGGCTAGCATGTGTCTTGGGGATAGTGTGTGTCTTGTGACTAGCGTGTGCCATGGGGTTAGTGTGTGCATTGGGGATAGCATGTGTCCTGGGGAAAGTATATGTCTTGTGACTAGTGTGTGCCTTAGGGTTTCTTTATGCATTGGGGCTAGCGTGTGCCCTGGGGCTGGCATGTGTCCTGGTGTGTGCACTGGTGCCAGTGTGTGCCTTGGGGCTGGCATGTGTCCTGGGAAATAGTGTGTGCATTGGGGCCATCGTGCATCCTGGGAAATGCACCTTTCTTTGGAGTACAGATGTGTTGAAGGCTGGAGAGTGTGTGGTAAGTGTCACTCTTAGCCACGGTTTGGAGGTCACAGCTGGTGGGGACCAGGGCCCTCTGTGCGAGATCCGTGATGGTCCTTTCGTGCTTTCTTTCAGTTCTTCTAAGCTGACCCTGAATCGTTTTTCCCTCTGCAGGAGATGGAAATCCGAGAGAAAGCAGTCCATTCCTCAACAATGTGGAGGTGGAGCAGGAAAGCTTCTTGGAAGGGAAGAACATGGCGCTTTTTGAGGTAACTTGACTTCTTTTGAGAAGATACCAGGGCCGCTGCTTTGATGTGGAAAGTAGAAGATCCCCTGGAGACCTGCAGGACAGGGCCTCCCACGGGACCAGACACCATGGCGGGGAACGTGGGGCCTCCTCCCTGTCGCGAAGGCCACAGAGGGGGCCTTGTCCTGCCCCTGAGCTGGGATGTGGTCCTCAGCCGGCACCTTCTGGGGGCCTCCCTGGATCTAGGGCGCTGCGGCCCCCAGGAGCCCCTTGGAGCTGCTGAGTGCTGGCCGTCTCGGGGTCCCCGCCCTGGGTGAGTGGTCCCACTCCGAGGCCTGGAGCCCCGTCCTCGGACTCAGATGCACTGGCGTCAGGGCCTGGCTCTCTTCAGACCTGGGGGCTCAGGACAGGATGAGAGCCTGAGTGCCAAGCCCTGAACATGGAGGGGGAGCCCTGAGGGCTGCGGCAGGGGAGGGCGCCCATGACCGTCCCCACACTGCGCAGGAGGAGATGGACAGCAACCCCATGGTGTCCTCGCTGCTGAACAAGCTGGCCAACTACACCAACCTGAGCCAGGGCGTGGTGGAGCACGAGGAGGATGAGGACAGCCGGCGGCGTGAGGCCAAGGTACGTTCGCCACCCGCCCCGTCCCGGGTGTCCCGGCAGGGTCGGGCTATGCCAGCAAAGCAGCTGCTCGTCAGAAGCGCCGCCCTGAGCGCGGATGTGGGGGACACGTCCGGCCCTTTCTTCCTGGGAGGTCTCGGTGGTGCCTGCTCCACAGCTCTGGCCCAGGCCTCTTGCCTCTCCACCGTCCTGGGAAGCGTGACTTCCCCCACGCATCTGGGCAGCGGGATTCCCCGTCGAGACATGAACTCAGGGTGTTCTGTTCGTCCTGCGGGGGCGGCCCTGTGCCCTGCGGTAAAGAGGCCGGGCCGGGGCCCCTCCTGGGCTGCTGTGGCCTTGGCAGTCCCTCGGGCCGCCCGCCTTTTCCTTTCTATCCGGGACACTTAGCCGGGTGGCACTTTCCCTTGAGGGTTTGTTTCCAGGAATCCGTCCTAGGAAGAGGGGGGCGTGCAGTGGGGATTCCATGGAAAGATTTCCCTTGGGCAGTTTCTGTGGGTGATGAGGTCTGGAGACCCCTCGAGCATCCTGGGAGCGTTCTGCCGTCGTGTGCAGACCACGCGCCTGGGAGCCACCCTGAGGCCTGACGTCCTGAGATGACGCTCAAGGCGAGAAGGACCCCAGGCCGTGTGGGGAGAGTGTCCCCGTGCAGGTGAAGCAAGCCCTGTCCTCACGGTGGGGGCACGCAGGTGGCTTCGTTTTTTCTCATCTTTCTCAGCTTTGTAAGTCTTCCAAATACACATGCATGTAAATACACATGCAGTGCTTTAGAACCCTAAGATACAAACGAACAAAAGTATCCACTGACGGAAACCCTGCTGTATCGGCCCCGCCGCGGAAGCTGGGAGGTTCTCAGGGTGGCCTCCCCCCAGTCCCGCCGCGGAAGCCGGGAGGTTCTCAGGGTGGCCTCC